CCCCCACTGTATATATATTTTAAATGGCTCATACCTTGAAAAGATTCAAAGGATTCGTTAGTAGAATTCACTATGACATAATATTTAATTGTGAATCATTTAGTTATGTTTCAGTTAGAAAGTGATGTGTTACGGAATCTTCCTCTTGTCGCTCAACCTTTACAAGACTCAAAGCACTACGTCTAGCTTTGAGAAATACATTACTTGCAAAAAAATCTTGTTGTGGAGTTCCAAGATGAATTGTGAATGAAAATTTTCATCTCAGTAGTTACTTTACAGTTTACGCGTGCTCTAAATGAAAACGCACGAGTTCAATGAGGTCCAAAACGTATGCGTCTCGCATAATGGCGGAAAATAACACTTTTCTGTGGAACGAAATAAATTGCGGAATCAAAATATTTGTGTGATTAGATCATGTATATACATTATTAATCATGGAATCAAAAGAAAACAAACAAGTTTCAATAATCTAGTATATACATGATTAATCATGAAATATATTTTTGTTTGTATTTTTCCCACCAAACGCAAAATCTGCATTTTTTCTAGTATTCCGCAAATTTTCTTGATTAGTAAAATACTTGTGGAATGACAATCAAAACGCCATTCTGCCACTCCGCGGGGTTACCAATCACAATCAATAACTTTACTCTTCTAGTTGTTTCTAGTAAAAAAGGCTACACATTGAACATCAGTGTCAACTTTTTTTCCTAGTCTCTCTCTTTGGTAGTGCTATATAGTTTTTTATATGAATTGTGGGAGTTCTAAAATTTTGGCATATTTTTTTCGGTATTCAAAGTTACACTTTAGATATTCCGATTTAATTTTTGTCCTAATGGGAGATTCAACTCGGTTCAAAAGGAAACTAACTCCATTGTGTTACCACAAGACCATCATCCTATTGGTAGCTAACTAGGTTTTACAAATAAATTTTACCAAAACCATATGCCCTATGTTCCTTGAAGATTGATGTATTGGCTTGTTAACACAAATTAAAAAATAATTAATTTTAAGCTATTAATGCATTGCTTTTTCACATTAAATATTTTTCAATACCTATTAGTAATTGAGAATTTAAATACTTTTAATTAATATTTTTTTGAAGTTTACAATTTGTTAATATTAATTAACAAAAGTACGAGACCATTGAGAAAAATAAGTTCGCCCTAGGATTTTCCTCACAGAACCTAAGGTAGCCGCCCGGGAATGAATTTTCGTCCTCCGATGTTCCTCCGGCGACTGCGCAACGCCCCCCCCAATCAGTGCTTCTCTTTCGCCCTCACCGGTGTGACCCTACCTCATCACGGTAGACGGTTTTCTAAGAGGAATATGATGGTCGTCTCCCCGCCTTCCCCCTCCGTGGCAACGAGCCATGCCCTGTTCAACTTCCTCACTCATCGGCGGAGGAAGATCCTTGTGACGCTGATGAATTCTCTTCGCCCACCAGAGCCCCTGAACCACCTGACTCGCCAGATTTCTCACGGAGTTTCCCGACTGCCACTCCGTTATTGGTTCTCGAGTCTCCATCGGGAAAGCCGTTTCTCGCCAGCTTTGGCTTCACCAACAAAGCCCTACCGCTACACAACCTATCCACCCGCCATCACCGTTGGATTACGCCAAAGATCTCTCTAGATCTGAGCACCAGATCGGAAAGTTTGGAAAGCTATCGACGGTTTGTTCTGCCATCCCCTGGTCCCGTTTCCCTTTGATCCCAGGCTCGAGACTCTGTGCCTCAAATCCATGTTCGAAGGCTGAAGAGGCCTTATTCCTCTCCCTCGCCGCGAGCCCGTGCTTTATCGGGCCCATCCAATCTTCCCCTCACCGGCAAAGATCCCCTTTCCAGCAAAGGTGTTGACGAGGCTCTGAATCCCAGGTTTCCGGCACCGTTTCCGGTGGTGGTTTGTCCCGAACACTCACCGTCGGCCGTCCTCGGATATGCCGGATTACATCTCTACAACAACAACAAAAAAAGTTTGGGTCTGGGCTATTCAGACGAGTGGGCTTTTAAGCCCAAGAAAATCCCTTCCCTTTGGTCCATACAAAAAGATCCCCTCCAAACATATTCGAATTGGACTGGTATTGGGCCTGGCCCATGAGTTGTATAAGGGGTTGAAAATAAACCCAGGTTTCACATCAATGTTTTTTTAATCTAATATTTTCTCTTATGAGAGTAAACTAAAGTTTTCTGGATTATCAAATCATGTAGTTTTTATTAAGTTTACCTCCTCTATTGAGAGAAGACAACAAAATTTTGGATTCTCAAATCATATAATTTACTCCCAGTGGAATAGTTCAATTCCACCTTCTTCGATCACTTGGAGATTGGTCGCATCTTCTTCCCTCTCTTGGAGAGTGGTCGAACTCCCGAGCTTTAGGTCGGGATCTTCAAAGTCACAGTGTAAAGTGACTAACCTGTGAATCTCCGGCTTTGCCGCGAAGACCCTCTTGACGCATCCGAGGCATGTCTTAGATCCAGTGTCCATCTTCTACGACGATCTATCTGCTCTAATGTTTATTGCATTTCAATTATGTTGTATTAATGTTGGAGGATGGTTAATTCCTCCCTTTGTACTTTGATCAGTTAAATGAATGAAGTACACTTGTTTGAAAAAAAAAAATTAGCAAAAGTACATTTCAAAATCTAAAACATTAGTGTTTATGGAACAAATAGAAAATCCAAAACAGCAATCCTTGTAGAAAGAGGGAATGGTATGTAAAGGCTACGAAAACACCTAATGAAACACAACTAGTATTCGGCATACCATTAGGAAGAGAGCCAGCTGAGGAC